GTAGCACACACTAGGTGGCGCTGGTCTTGATGCGTCACCTCACCAGAAGTCACTCACAACGACCCCTCTGGCTGACCCAGGCAGGAATCTTTTGCCATTTGCAAGTACTAGATAACCACCACCAGATGGCATTGCCCACATTATGTGCTATTCCCGGAGAGTTCGGGTGCGGACTCTTAGATGGTGCTGGAACTGCCACTCTACCCCTTGACAAGGGCGACGAGTCTGTAACAGGCACGCTGGGTGAGTCAGGCACGGGCACGCTGGGTGAGTCAGGCACGGGCACGCTGGGTGAGTCAGGCATGGATGCACGTGACACCCAGGGCTACGGTGTGGTACAGGATATACACTGTATTGTCACTGATGTCAATGATGTTACTAACAACAATGTCTGTGTCACTGATGTCACTAGTGAGGTTACACACTGCGAGTTGTTCTGTTGCCTGGCTGCTGTGCTTCAGCTGCTGTGATGTACTGTAGCTGGTGTGCTGTATATGTACCAGGGCCAGGAATTGGAGTTCGTTGGCTGATCCCACTAAGCTGCCAACAGTATTAACTTTGGTTGCTTGGTTACGGTTGTAGCGTTCTTGGTAGCGGGAAGTAATGGAGTACCAAACATCTGTGGCTTTTTCTTCTTTATAATACAGAATATATATAACTTACTGGGCCATGTAACAGCAATGGTGCATGTGTGTGGAGCGAGGGTTGACGCTGATCACTTTAACTAACCTAACCTAACCATTATGGAGTGAGGTCCTCGTTCCACCTCGGACTAGCATACAACGGGCTCCTCGTTAAGAGAGGTGCTGAGTAGGCATGCAAGAGGAAGATGGCGCCCACCACTCTAGGGCGTCCAACAATGACTATGAGGGGGAACTGATGGTAAGAGGGGGGGATAATGGAGCGGGGCATAGAGGGAAGATAAAGTGTGTTATGACCGTGTGATTATTAGCAGGTGAGTGATTATTTACACAAGTAATTAAACAAGAGTAATGAAGGTGAGATTATGTGTACTTGGATGAGGTGATAGACTGGAGTGGGTGTTGATCTGAAATACTAAGTCTGATGAATTTTGAACTAAAGCAGAAAACAGGAGTTGGCACTTGATATCAATCTTGATCTTATTTACTGAGTTTGAAACACAGAGGTTTAAAATTTTGTGGGTGGTGGGGGGTTGTACTGAATATACCAAATTTATAAGAGAGCGAACAAAGGCAGGGGATGGGAGCAGAAGCTTGTAACTGCCTTGATCTTATTTACTGAGTCTCAAATATAACAAATTTAAATCCTAAAGAAATTGATCTGATAATAGCGGTGCTGCATGAATGAACTAAGATGGGGAGAAAGAGCTGGAGCTTGGTAACTAAATTGTTGTATTTTACTACATCTTAAATACAGCTGGTTTAAATTTTATAGGATTTGGACTGATACTAACGGAGTTGTACGAATAAACTAAGACGGGGGACAAGAGCTGGAGTTCGGTAACTGTGTTTAACTTATTTATTACATCTGAAATAACTACGTTTTAAATCTCAAGGAAATTGATCGGATAATAGCAGAGTTGTGAGAGGGAACTAAGGTGATAAAAACTAATCTACAAGCAGCTTTACTCTTATCAAGCCAAACACAATATACTTAGCTCTTGTCAATATGGCTTCAGCCCTAAAAACGAACTAACGATGCACTTATTAGTATGATTAACTTGATACGTGCAGCTCTTGATAAAAATAAGTTCCCTGTTGGGTTATTTGTAGACCTGCGTAAGGCTTTTGACACTGTCAACCACCAAAACCTTCTTCTTAAATTACATCATTATGGAGTCAGAGGTCACTCCCTGTTACTGACAGGCTCCAGTATGATTCTGTGAATAATTCAGTTTCTCCCACCCTACCCATCAACATTGGTGTTCCTCAGGGCAGCATACTTGGCCCTCTCCTCTTTCTCATCTGCATTAACGACCTTCCAAATGCCTCCCAACACCTCAAACCAATTCTATTTGCTGACGACATAGCCTTCATTTTCTCCAGTCTTGACCCTCTTGTTCTAAATGTCACAGTGAATACTGAACTAAATAAAGTCCATCTCTGACTAACTGCTAACAAACTCAACCTCAACATTGACAAAACCTTTGGCAATAAATCCTCAATTCAAATTAATCTCAGGATAAACAATATCCAAATTTGTAACAAAGTAGATGGCAAATTCCTTGGTGTTCTTTTAGACAACAAGCTGAATTTCCAGGGACACATTCTAAATATATAAAAAAAAAAAACTGTTGACATTCTTTCTAAGATCAGATATTATGTACCTCGCCCTGCCCTGGTGATGCTCTATTACTCTCTCATCTATCCTTATCTTACCTATGGTATTTGTGCTTGGGGTTCTGCTACCCAAAATCATCTACGTCCTCTAATTACTCAACACAAAGCTGTTATTAGAACAATATCTAACTCTGGCCCCAGACATTGTTTGGTACCCTTACTCAAATCTCTGAATATGTTAGATATTAAGTCACTGCACATCCTCTCAAGTGTATTATATAAATATAAAATGCTGAACTGTAATGTCAATCCTGACCTTAAAATCTTCCTACAAAGTTGTAACAGAACCCATGGGCACCACACCAGAAACAAATACCTATTTAATATTCCAAGAGTATGACTTAATTAAACTAGAAATGCTCTACAAATCAAGGGACCCAGAATGTAGAATGACCTTCCCAATCATGTAAAACACTGTACCTCTCCCAACCAGTTTAAGATAAAACTAAGTCCTACCTAATTACCTCCATGTAGCCTACCTCACCCCCAAATGTCAACCCATGTCTTACTATTTTAAACAATGCTGTTTGTTGACCAAATTGTATATTTGCTATTTTTTGCAAGGACCCCCCCCCCTTTTTTTATTTTTTATTTTTTTTTTCAACACAATTTATACTTTAATCTTAATTAGTATTACGTTTTAGTCTAAGTGTTTTTCCTGCCCAAAGCGCTCTGCGTAATATTGACTTTAGTCTTTGTATGTACTAGCTCTATCTATAAATCCATCAATCTTTGTATCTCACCTTGTATGTATGTACTTTACCTGAATAAACATTTGATTTGATTTGATGGACAGAAGCTGGAGCTCAATAACTAAATTGTTGTATGCATGCGATGAATCACAATAACGTGGATAAATTATGTGGACCAGACCACACACTAGAAGGTGAAGGGACGACGACGTTTCGGTCCGTCCTGGACCATTCTCAAGTCGATCGACTCGAGAATGGTCCAGGACGGACTGAAAAGTCGTCGTCCCTTCACCTAAATTGTTGTATTTTACTACGACTGAAGTTCAGTAGTTTTAAATTTCAGGGAACTTGATTGCTTAATACCGGAGTTGTAAAAGTAATGTAAGGGGGAGGACAAGAGTTTAGTAATTACTTTTATCTATTTTACTATGTCCGTAGCACAGCAGGTTTAAATTTCGGAAGTACACTATGGCGGAGGACGAGAGCTAGAACTTAGTTACTGACTCGATTTGATTTACTGAGTATGAAATATAGCTGGTATAAATGTAAGGGAAATTAATATATTAATAACGAAGTTGTAGTAATAAGCTAAGGTGGGGACGAGAGCTGGAGCTTGGTAACACTATTTTATTTTCTTACTATGTTCGAAGTATAACTGTTTTACATTGGGCTACTGGTAGTGAAACTAACCTTGTAAAAGTATAATGCTACCTTATGGTGAACTTTTTAGAAATATCTGCTCAAGTCACTTTTTAGAAATACCTGCTCAAGAACGCAGTAAGGATTAAAACTCTGAAAAATTTCTGTCTTAAAATGGACTCTGACGAATAATCGGTCTTAAACTGGTCTCTGAAAAAAATCAGTCAAGTGTCGGATAGTAAAGTGTCCCGGGGTGATGGTACCATAACTCCCACAGCTGCGGATATTAGTTAAGTGTCCCGGGGTGATGGTACCATAACTCCCACAGCTGCGGATATTAGTTAAGTGTCCCGGGGTGATGGTACCATAACTCCCACAGCTGCGGATATTGGTTAAGTGTCCCGGGGTGATGGTACCATAACTCCCACAGCTGCGGATATTAGTTAAGTGTCCCGGGGTGATGGTACCATAACTCCCACAGCTGCAGATATTAGTTAAGTGTCCCGGGGTGATGGTACCATAACTCCCACAGCTGCGGATATTAGTTAAGTGTCCCGGGGTGATGGTACCATAACTCCCACAGCTGCGGATATTAGTTAAGTGTCCCGGGGTGATGGTACCATAACTCCCACAGCTGCGGATATTGGTTAAGTGTCCCGGGGTGATGGTACCATAACTCCCACAGCTGCGGATATTGGTTAAGTGTCCCAGGGTGATGGTACCATAACTCCCACAGCTGCGGATATTAGTTAAGAGTCCTGGGGTGATGGTACCATAACTTCCTCAGCTGCGGATATTGGTTAAGTGTCCCGGGGTGATGGTACCATAACTCCCACAGCTGCGGATATTGGTTAAGTGTCCCGGGGTGATGGTACCATAACTCCCACAGCTGCGGATATTAGTTAAGTGTCTCGGGGTGACGGTACCATAACTCCCACAGCTGCGGATATTGGTTAAGTGTCCCGGGGTGATGTTACCATAACTCCCACAGCTGCGGATATTGGTTAAGTGTCCCGGGGTGATGGTACCATAACTCCCACAGCTGCGGATATTGGTTAAGTGTCCCAGGGTGATGGTACCATAACTCCCACAGCTGCGGATATTGGTTAAGTGTCCCGGGGTGATGTTACCATAACTCCCACAGCTGCGGATATTGGTTAAGTGTCCCGGGGTGATGGTACCATAACTCCCACAGCTGCGGATATTGGTTAAGTGTCCCGGGGTGATGGTACCATAACTCCCACAGCTGCGGATATTGGTTAAGTGTCCCGGGGTGATGTTACCATAACTCCCACAGCTGCGGATATTGGTTAAGTGTCCCGGGGTGATGGTACCACAACTCCCACAGCTGCGGGTGTTGGCGAGGTGCGTGGTGGTCGTGGTGGCGAGCGACGACCCGGCCTTCCTGGTCGCCTTCGCCCAGTCGTCTGACAGAGGCCGCCTGCTGGTGTGGTCGACCAGACTGTTGGTGGTGACGAGGGCGCCTCTCCACGAGGTCATGCGTCTCCTGCGCCAGTACTGGACCTTCTCCATGATGAACACCATGTTCCTGACCCCAGGAGTCCCAGCGTCTGGTCACAGGTAATGTTCCTGACCCCAGGAGTCCCAGGGTCTGGTCACAGGTAATGTTCCTGACCCCAGGAGTCCCAGCGTCTGGTCACAGGTAATGTTCCTGACCCCAGGAGTCCCAGGACCCCAGGAGTCCTTTGTCCCAGTATAAAAGGGCCCACTAAGTTCTTAAAGGTTTCTTATGGGGGAAAATCAGACCAAAAATCATTCATTCGTTCTTAAAGGTTTTTTATGGGGAAAATTTTTGGGCCATTTGTCAGTAAGTTCTTAAAGGTTTCTTATAGGAAAAATTCAGACTAAAAATCACTCATTCGTTCTTAAAGGATTCTTATAGGAGAAATTCAAAAATATTTCTGAGTTCAGTTTAATAAAAATATTTCAGAATTCATATAAGAGTAGAAATTGATTTAAAAGTTTGAGACTAGGATTTTTAAAAATGACCATTTTCAGAGAATATTGTCATTGAAGTTTTGTTAAGGAAAATAGGCATTTTATCAGTAACTTTTAGTTTTTATATCCTTATATTGCTGTGTCACACTAGTTTAAGACCGAAATTATTCAGAGACCGGCTGAAGACCGAAATTATTCATAGTTCAGTTGAAGACCGAAAATTAGTCAAAGACCAGTTAAAGATCGAATTTCTTCAGAGACTATTTTCAGACCGATTTTCATCAGAGTCCGTTTCAAGACCGAAATATGACAGAGTTCATTTAAGGCTGAAATAATTTCTGAGACCATTTTTTGACCGAAATATTGTCAGAGTCCAGTTTGAGACCAAAATTAGTCAGAGACCAGTTTAACCCCAAAATTAGTCAGAGACCAGTTTGAGCCAAAAAATATTCAGACTCCAGTTAAAGACCAAAATTAATCAGAGTCCATTTTAAGACCAGAAATTTCACAGAGTCCACTTTGAGACCAAAATTCGTCAGTCCAGTTAAAGATCAAAATTAGTCAGAGTCTCGTTCAATGTAAAAAATTAGTCAGTTTCATTCAAGGTCAAATATTTTTAGTCTCATTTGTTTTCAGCCGCGTCACAGGAATTAGGACTAAATTTTGTCAGAGTTTAATCCTCGTTGAGTTCTTAAGAGTTCTTATGAATATAATTAATGAGCAGGTATTTTTAAAAAGTTCATCAGATATTAGCTCTTGGACCCCAACTCTATACGTTTATAAGTGCATTTTCGTTACTTTTATCCCAATTTTAGCCCAATTTAAAATAGTTATACTTCAGACATTCTGAGAATATGGAGAATTTGACAAAGAACACAGAGAATACGATAAAGGAACTTGTGAAGAACTTGCTGAGAACATGAGTAATGAGTATAAAAGTTGTACACGGAGAAAATACTCAAATACAGTAAGATTATTGGATAATAGCTGTACGTTTAAATTCTAGGGCGTGAGGAAGGTTTAGATGAGATGGAGGAAGGGGGGAAGTTGGGGAATGGGTGAGATATAGGGGGAGTAGGGGGTAAGTGAGAGAGAGATAAGGGTGTGGGGAAGTAAGGGAGGGGGCAGATAAGGGGTGATGGAAATAAGAGAGAGTGAGTGGATGAGAGTGAGTGGGGGCGGGGGAGTGGATGAGAAAGGGAGGTATGGAAGGAGTAAGGTATGTAGGGAAGAGATATAGGGAGGAGGGGTAAGAGGGAGATAAGTGAACGGTTAGGCACGGGGGGGATAGGGGGTTTAAGGGTGGGGGGAATAAGGGTAATAGAGAGTTGGGGGAGATAAAAGGGGGGGGGGGAAGGTAAGGTGTGATATGACCGTGTGATTATTAGCGTTGTTAGTGATTATTTAAATAGTTGAGTAAACAAGCATATTGCAGGACAGGATATGTTTGCTTCTGATAAAGGTGAAAGGCAGGAGTGGGTTTGATGTTTTGGAATTATTAAGTTTGATAAATTGAGGTGGAGGGCAAGAGTTGGAATTTGGTAATTGCTTTGGTTTATTTTACAGGGGTCTGAAATGTATATTTGTTCTTCTGAAATGTAGTAGGAATATAAATCTCATGGGATTTGGACTGGTAATAATTAACTTACTAGGGTGGAGGAAAAGAGCTGAAACTCGGTAATTGCGTTGGTCTTATTTACTACATCTAAAATAACTGTTTTAAATCTCAGGGGAATTGATTAGATACTAACGAAGATAAGAGTGGGAACTAAGGTGGGGGACAGGTGTTAGAACATGGAAACTAAATTGTTGTAATTTATTATGTCTGAAATACAGCGGGTTTAAATTTCAGGGAAATTGTTCAGGTATTAATGAAGATACGAGAGGGGGTTAAGGCGGGGACAAAAGCTAGAGTTCGGTAATAGTTTGGACCAATTTTACTATGTTTGAAATAAGTGGTCTTAAATTTCAGGGGGATTGGACTTAGTAAAGAAGTTATATGGGTAAAGTAAGACAGGGGACAGGAGCTAGAACTTGCCTACTGCTTTGATTTGATTTACTCTATCTGAAATATGACTATTTTAAATTGGACTAAAATGGGTTATTAGTAACAAAAATGTACTTATAAACGTATAGAGCTGGGTCCAAGAGTTAATATCTGATGAAGTTTTTTAAAATGAATGAACGAGACTGACTAATATCGGTCATAAACTGTTCTGACGAATTTTGATCTCAAAGCGGACTCTGATTAATTTTGGTCTTTAACTGGACTGGATTTTTGGGCTCAAACTGGTCTCTGACAATATTTTGGTCTAAAAATGGTCTCTAAAATTATATCGGTTGTTACGGACCCGAACCCAGCGTTGTAGCACGGAGCAGTGACGTCCACGCCATCTGTGAGTCGGCTCCCGAAACCCCCTCCAAATGGACGACGCCATTTAACGAGGGCGGGATATACCGGCCACAGGGGCTGGTTTCCTGTCTTAATCAGCTTGTAACGTAGCCGTTGCTGACCTCTGGTGAGGTGGCGCTTAGACAGCAACGCCATCTATGGAGTGGATAGGTGGACGTTTGTGTCTAAGCCTGTGAGTGAGGTGCCCTAGAGTGTAACTAGTACTGATGACGTATCTGATTACAGAGTCGACCTGGGATTGCTGAATCGGATGGTGGATCAGTCTACCCAAGGCAGCCGTAGAACCTCCACGCATTTGCTGCTGAAGCTGTGAGTCACCCCCCGGATGAACACTGTTGTGTTAGCCTGCCTGTGAGGTGGCAGAACCAGGGATTGTCGTACCCGGGGCTGACTGGTGGAGAAGACTAGCCACTGGGGTGTTGTGGTGAGGAGAGTGATCTGTGAAATCACACGAGGCTCCTGCCTAGGGCTCGCAACCCTAGTATCGGTCATGGAGTGGCCTAACCAGCGGAACTGATTGGAACCTGCCAGCTACAGGCTGGATTTGTGGTTGAAGGCCTCCACGACGGTGGCCTAGCCAGCGGAACTGATTGGAACCTGCCAGCTACAGGCTAGATTTGTGGTTGAAGGCCTCCACGACGGTGCCCCCAGTGGAACTGTGATTTGGCTGGACTGTGGCCAGGGTAGACTCGAGAGAATCGAAGGATTCAACGTGAGGCCACAAGAAGAGGACCAAGGGCTAAGCATCGTTGAGCACCGTGGAACACTCCGCGTCTTCAGAGGAAGACCATATTGTATATTATAGTGTTTATACCCCCCCCCCCCCCCCCCGTGTGATAATTTATATATTTATTTATTGGTGATGGTAATTATATATTTAAGTTTAGTGCCTCTGTCTCCCTTCCCCTTTAATTTACTTGCGTTACGGAACACACCCCTTGAGAGCCACTACTAACTTGGGGCCGGATACCCTAACTCTAACAACATCAGAGAAAGAACCCAGTTGCGACCCAAGAGGGCCGTAATATCGGTCTTAAATGGACTCCGTCATATTTCGGTTTTAAAACGGACTCTGATGAAAATTGGTCTGAAAATGGAATTTGAGGAAATTCGGTCTTTAACTGGTCTCTGACTAATTTTTGGTCTTCAACTGGTTTATGAATAATTTCGGTCTTCAGCCGGTCTCTGAATAATTTCGGTCTTAAACGAGTGTGACACCGAAGAAAACGGATATAAAAACCTAAAAGTTACTGACAAAATGTCTCTTTTTCCTTAACAAAACTTCATTGACAATATTCTCTGAAAACAGTCTTTTTGAAAAATTTTAGTTTAAACTCCTAAATAAACTTATATGCTTATATAAACGTTTTTGAATGAAACAAAAATATTTGTATAAAGCTGAGCTCTGAAATATTTTTTAATTTCTCCCATAAGAATCCTGAATAAACGAATGAGTGATGTTTGGACTGAATTTTCCCCCATAAGAACTCTTCAAGTCCAAATGAGTGATTTAAAAAAAAAAATCTCAATCACCGTTGGGGTGTCATCCCTATTACTGACAGTGTCCGTCAGTGTGGACAGTGACCGTCAGCATGGACAGTGATGGACGCTGTCCAAAATGACAGTCACTGTCCACACTGACGGTCACAGTCCACACTGACGATCATTTCCCACACTGACGGTCACTGTCAACACTAACGGTTACTGTCCACACTGACGGTCACTGTCCACACTGACTGACACAGTCTACACTCACAGTAACTGTCCATACTGACAGTCATTGTCCACACTGATGGTCACTGTCCTCACTGACAGTCACTCTCCAGACTAATGGGCACTGTCCACACTGACAGTCACTCTCCACACTGATGGTCACTGTCCAGACTGACGGACACTGTCCTCACTGACCGTCATTTTCCACACTGACAGTCACTGTCCACACTGACGGTCACTGTCCACACTGACAGTCACTGTCCAACCTGACGGTCACTGTCCACACTGACGGTCATCGTCCACACTGACAGTCTCTCTCCACAATGACGGTCACTCTCTACACTGATGGACACTGTCCACACTGACGGTCACTGTCCACACTGACTGTCACTGTCCACACTGACGGTCACTGTCCACACTGATAGTCACTGTCCACACTGACGGTTACTGTCCTCAATGATGGTCACTGTCCAACAATGATGGACACTGTCCACAC